GGGAGCCGATCCCGGGTGAGCGCGCCCCCGGCCCTCGGAACCGGACGCGATCGCCCTCCCCGACTCCCGCCCCGGGCCTCCGCAATTCCAGACCACTCCCCCCAGAACCCAGACCTCCCACCCAGCCCCGCTTAGAACCCCAGAACCTCCACCTCCCAGCCCACCCCAGGCCCAGACCTGATCCCCTGCCCTCCCCCTCTTCTTACAACTCCCTTAATGCCCACACCCTCGGCCGTCAGAACCGCAGACCTCCCCTCCCCAACCCCAGACCTGTCCCTCCAACCACAGACCTGTCCCTCCAACCACAGACCCCACTCCCCAACCCCAGACCTGTCACCCTCAACCCCAGACCTGTCCCTCCAAGCCCAGACCTGTCACCCTCAACCCCAGACCTGTCCCTCCAAGCCCAGACCTGTCACCCTCAACCCCAGACCTGTCCCTCCAAGCCCAGACCTGTCACCCTCAACCCCAGACCTGTCCCTCCAAGCCCAGACCTGTCACCCTCAACCCCAGACCTGTCCCTCCAAGCCCAGACCTGTCACCCTCAACCCCAGACCTGTCCCTCCAAGCCCAGACCTGTCACCCTCAACCCCAGACCTGTCCCTCCAAGCCCAGACCTGTCACCCTCAACCCCAGACCTGTCCCTCCAAGCCCAGACCTGTCACCCTCAACCCCAGACCTGTCCCTCCAAGCCCAGACCTGTCACCCTCAACCCCAGACCTGTCCCTCCAAGCCCAGACCTGTCACCCTCAACCCCAGACCTGTCCCTCCAAGCCCAGACCTGTCACCCTCAACCCCAGACCTGTCCCTCCAAGCCCAGACCTGTCACCCTCAACCCCAGACCTGTCCCTCCAAGCCCAGACCTGTCACCCTCAACCCCAGACCTGTCCCTCCAAGCCCAGACCTGTCACCCTCAACCCCAGACCCTCAAACCCAGACCTGTCCCTCCAACCCCAGACCTGTCACCTTCCAACCTCAGACCCCCTCCCCGCCCCGCGGCATCCCCGACTCTGCTCATGGCCGCGCCCCTCTCTGGCAGGGTCCGGAAGCGGAAAGGTCGAGGCGCTGGAGGCCGGCATGGAGCAGGGCGCGACCAAGCGGCTCTCGTCCGCGGCTTCGCAGAGAACAGTCCGGAGCGCAGAGAACAGTCCGTACTGCCGGCGTCCTCCGTGCGCTCGCCTAGAGCCACCTAGCGGTTCAGACGCGCTGTCCCGGCTGCGCTCAGCTTTAGCGAACACGTGGACGGGGGTGGCCAGAAGCCCGGAGCGCAGGGGCCGGGCCTTCCTGGGAATCGGTGGAAATCTGAATGGGGGGTGTGTGTGTGTGTGAAGGGCCCTCCAGGTAGCGGAGCGGACACGCTGCGCTTTCCTCTGCGTCGGGACGTCCTGTTCTTGCCTTTGGTCAGACGTGACGTTCGTTCTGTCGGTAGACGCGGGGGTGAGGGGCCGGGTGTCAGGTAGGTGCAAGTGTAGCTTTGGAAGAAGGTACCACCAATAGTTTGCCAGCCGGAGATGAGCCTCCAGGTGCCTCTGTCCGCGCCAGCACCCGGTAGGGTCGCTGTCACCGCGGCCGCTCTGGTGGCGTTGAGCCCCTTGTCGCGTACCACTGAAGCTCGTCTTTTATGGAGTGCCTGTTCCAGATCTTTGGGCCATTATTAAACTGGGTTGTGGATCTTCTTGACTCGGAGGAATTCTCTGCGTGGGGATGCCTGCTGGGGTCTGCAGCGGCTTTTTCAGTCACTTAATGATTCTTCTTGATAATCAGAACATCTTAATATTAGTGAAGTCTGATTGTCAATCCTTTCTTCTATGGTTGAATTTCTGTGTCTTATTTAAGAAATCTTCGCCTACTCCATAGTCCAGGAGGTGGTATTCTGCGTTTTCTTCAGAAGCTTTACACTGTAGTTTTATTTTTCACGGTTAGGTCCACAACCCATGGGGACTGTGTACAGTGAGGCAGGGTCAGCCGTTAATGTTTCTCCCCCGACTCCCATATGAATTTCCAGTAACTCAGCCCCTGCCTGGCAGTGTCACCTTTGTGGACCATCAGGCTAGGCCTATGTGGGGGTCCTTGTTTCTGCACAGTCATCTTACTGCTTATCCTACTCCATACCACCCTGTTTTAATTCCAGTAGCTTTATAAGTAGTACCATGTGCTGGTATAAAGCCTCTGACCTTGCTGTTCCTCAAGATTGTTTAGGTTTTCTTGGTCTTTTGCTCTGCCCTACACATTTTAAAATCAAATTGTTAATTTACACACACACACACATACACACACACACACGTAGAAATCCTGCTGGGACTTTACTTGTGATTACACTATTCTATAGATCAATTTGGGGGATAATTAACATCTTAACAATATTGAATTTTCTAACCCATGAACATTCAGTTCTCCCTTAATTCTTCTCAGTAATGTTTTGTAGGTTTCGGTGTATAGGTACGCAAGACTTCTTTTGTTAGATTTGCTCCTAGATATTTGATGTTTTAAAATGCTCTTGTAGATGATATTTTTGAGTTCCATTTTTGAATTGTTTCATGTATGTGGAAGTATAATTGATTTTGGTGTACTGACTTGGTATTGGGTGACTTGCTAAATACACTTACGAATTCTAATAGTTTGTAGATTTATTTAGATTTTCTACATGCACAATCATCATCTACAAATCTTTTCAATCTTTATACTTTTATTTCCCTTTCTTGCATTATTGCATTGGTTAGTACTTTCAGAATGACGTTGAATAAAAATGGTATAGTGGACATCTTTGTTTTGTTCCCAAACTCAAGGGGAAAGTGTCCAATATTTCACATGAAGTATGATGCTATAGCTTTAAAGGAAATTCTCTTTTATTCTTGGCTTACTGGGAGTTTTTAAATGAATAGTTATCACTTTTTATCAAATGCTTTCTTCCACATCTATTGAGATGGTAATATGTTTTTCCCTTTAGTCTATTAATGTGGTAGATTATGTTGATAGATTTTGAAATATTAAACCAACTTTGCATTCCTGAAATAAACCACATGTGGTCATGTTATATTTTTTTCTGTGTAACTGTATTTGATTTACAAATATATTGTTCAAGGTTTTTGTGTTTTTTTTTTTTTTTTTACCAGAGAGATTGGCCTGTATTATTTCTTTCTTGTGTCCTTGTCAGGTTTTCGTATTAAATTTATGCCCTAATAAAAAGAGTTGGAATGAGTTTCTTATTTTCCTATTTAATGAAAAGGTTTATGTAAGGTAATTTTTCCCCTTCAATATTTGGAAAGATTGACTTGTGATGCCATTAGAACTGGAGGTTTTGTTTAGGTAACATTTTAATTATGGAGTTAATTTCTTTAACAGAAGTAGGCCTGTCAAGATTTCCTATTTCTTTTATGTCAGTTTTGTGTTTTTCAAGGAGAATGTTCATTTCATATGAGCTGTCAAATTATTGGAGTGTAGATGTTCATAATATCTTCTTATCATTTTAATGTCCATACAATCAGTAGTGATGTCTCCTTTTTCATTCTCGATAGTGGTAATTCATGTTTTCCTTCTTTTTTCTTCATTAATCTGGTTAGAGGTTTATCAATTTTTTAAAAAAATTGTTTCAAAGATTCAACTTTTGGTTTTGTTAGTTTTCTCTATAGTACATTTGTTTTTTATTTAATTGAATTCTGCCCTTATCTTTATTATTTCCTGTCTTCTTTTTTGTTTTTTTAAGTGTAATTATTATTCTCTTTCTAGCCTCTTGGGATGGTAGCACAGATAATTTTCAATTTGTTTTCTAAAACATTCATTTAAAGCTATGAACTTCTCTCTAATCACTATTTTAGCTGCATTGTAATGCTTTGATATATTTTTAATTGTCATTTAATTTTGTCATATTTTCATTATGATTTAATTCAAATCATTTAAAAATTTCCGTTTGATTTTTCCTTGGATCCATGTTTTATTTTAAAGTGTGCTGCTTAATTTTTGACCATTTAGGACATTTTCTAGTTATCTTTTTGTTTTTTTCTAGTTGATTCAACTGTCGTCAAAGGATTTAATCCATATCATTTTAATCCTTTGAAATTTGTTGAGAGTCTATGACTCAGCATATGATCAATGCTGGAAAACGTTTCTTTGTGCATGTAGAAAGTATATCAGCAGTGGTCGGATGTGGTGTCTGTGGATGTCATTCAGGTCTTGCTGGTTATTCATGACATTCAAATTTGCTATATTCTACTGATTATTTAATCTTTCATTTACTAAGGGAAGTAGGATAAAATATCCCAATATAACTGGATTTTCTATGCCAGTTAGTTCTGTCAACTTGTGTTTTTATATATTTTGAAGCTCCATTACTAGGTATGTACATATTTGGACTTTTTATGTCATCATAGTGAATTGATCTCTTCAGTATTATGAATATCTTCTGTCTTATTAATTATGATGATTTTATTAAATTTTGTAAATATTTTCTAAATAAATATTAGTGTGTATCTAGATATTTACTAAATATTTACTATTATCTCTAAAGATGACTTTTTTAAATAACCAAACTATTTTTCACACTCAATAAATTGAAAAATAATTCTTTAATAAAATATAATACCTACAAAATATTCATGTTTCCCCAGTTTCCCCCCAAACAACTGTACAGTTGGTTTGTTCAGATCAGAATCTTGTCACAGACCACATGCTGGTTGTTTTATCTCTTGATTACCTTTTAATGTAGAATAACCAATCCTCTTGCCTGATGTTTCCAGGATGTAGACTTATTGAAGAGGACAGCCTCTTGTTCTGAGGAAGTCCCACCTCTGGGCTTGGTCTGGTGCTGTTTAGCCTGTTCCTATGTCTCCTGTTTGTGCCCTGTGGTCTGGAGGTGAGGCTAGAGAGTTGATGTGACTTTGCCAAGACTCCTTCCAGGTGATGCTGTGTTTTTTGTTTTCCCCGTCGTGTCCGGCTGTGCCATCATCCCTGTTTCGACTGGTCACTGGATCACTGCTGGCCAGATGCCTCTGTCGTCGAGTTGCCTTTCCCGGGGGCAGCTCTGAAGGGTGGCGCTTTGGCACCAGGAACCTTCTGGGTGTTGACATCATCTCTGCTGTGGACGGTCCCTAGAACCAAACTCCAAGCTGAGATTAGGATGTAGGAGGCTGACTAGGGAGTCCTTCTGGATTGGTGCCTGTGAGGTTGTGCTGAACACGGACTCGGGCAAGGGAGGAGAGGGCTGTGATGCCTTCGGAACAGAGGCTGCGGCCAACCCCACCAGGAGCTCTGAAGCTGGGGCCCTGTCAGGGTCGTCCTGAACTGGATGGCTGCCCTCTGGGAAGGTGTGACTTCCATCAGGGCATGAGAGAGACTCAGGAAATGTGAGGTGCAGGTACTCCTTGCAGAGCAGGAAATGGGAGCCTGGTCAGGAAGGAGGTCTCTGTGGCCTCCACACCTCCCACCCACCTTCTCCTAGGTGTTCAGCATTCCTTGGGGGCCCCCCACACCGGCCAGCTGCACTCTGTGTAAGAAAAGCTCCCTCCCCTGCAGGCTCCTTGACCTCCATGGAGTCCAGATCCTTCCAGAAGGTCTGCTTAGGTGCTTTTTCTGGTCCTGAGTTTCTGGTCTTCAGGGAAGGTGTTTGCATGACAGGCATCCCCGACGGGCGAAGGAGGTTTCTGTTCATGGCCCCCTCGCTCTTGAGAGTCTTTGTGGACATCTGGACATGCAAACGGTCAGCTTGCTCGGTCAGGCACTGTCTATTTTGTGATGCTCCTGTGGTCTCCACCTGGCCCAGGCAGTCTCTTCAAGCCACTTCTGTGTCTTTCTGCTGTACCCCACTTGTCTTCAAGGGTCCCTTGATGCCCTGAGATGACCCTGTGCCCCAGACCAGGAGCCCACATTTCTCCAGAGAGCCGTGGCCACTGCGGTGGGAGCAGGTGGTGTGTAGAGACCAGAGTGCCAGGGCCGTTGCTATGCTTCATGAGCTTCCTAATTTGTCAAGGGTGTTAAGCCTGAACATTTTCATTAGTGATGTCTCTGTGTCCCTTTTGCATCTACTGTATGATCTTTCTGTATCTCTGAAGGTGGTGAGTTTCAGTGCTTACTTTTCAAATCCAGCTTCGGAACAGCTCCTCACATACTGCTGGATGCAGTTTGCTGACGTCTTGTGTTTGATTTTGTCATCCGTGTGTGTGTGTGAGTCAGATTGTGATGTCACTTTCTTGTAGTATCCTGTTCAGATGCAGGCATCGAGTAATGCTGGCATCGTAAAACAAGGGACAGAGTGGCCATACCTTTTCTGCTCTCAGAACGAGTTGTATGAGTTTAAATGTTTGGCAGAACTCACCCATGAAGCATCAGGCCTGGAGTTGTCCTAATGGGAAGGTTTTAACCCTCAGATTTAACTTCGTGTTAGGTAGAGAGTCATTTGTTTCTTCTATTTCTTCTTGTGTCTATTTTTGTAATTTGTATTTTTCAAGGAATTTGTCTATTTTATCTCAATTTTGAATCTATTGCCATAAAGTTTGTAATCCTCCTCCTTTTATTTTAAGCATCTAAAGAGTTTTCCTGTCCTGTTATTACTTTTTATGCCTTCTCTTTTTTATCGGTCATTCTCACAAGTGGTTTATTTATTTCATTAGTCTTAAAACTTTGGTTCAGTTAGACTTCTTTGTTGTATTTAAAACATTTCATTCATGTCTGTGCTTTTTTGGTAATTTCTTTGGGTTTAAATTTATGGTGTTCTTTCTAACTTCCTGGGATAGACACTTAACTCATTATTTTTAGTCTTTATTATTTTCTAATAGATGCACATACAGCTAAAAGTTTCTATATAAACACAGCTTTAAACACATCCCACAAGATTTTATATCTGGTATTTTAATTATCATTCAGTTTAAAAATATATGCTACTTTCCATCTTGATTTCTCCTTGGACCAATGGATTATTTAGAAACGTATTTGGTAATTTATAAATATGTGGTAGTTTTCTCTTTGTTATTTTGTCCCATTATTGATTTCTAACTTAATTGCTCTGTGGCCAGGAAACATCTGGCCACAATCTGTATGACTCCAAATCCTTTGGAATTTGTCCAGACCTTCTTATGGTCAGTTTTAATAACTGTTCCCTGCGTGCTGGAAATAATGCCTGTGGCAGGCGTGTGCCACGCGTTTGCTAGGTTAAGTTTCTGATGGTCACGTTCAAATCGTTGTCCTCATTGAGAGCTGTGCACGTAACTCTCGGGGTGACTGTGGATGAGTGATCTTTCCCCGTCTTTCTGCCGACCTGTGTTCTGTATGTTTTAAGGGGATGTTATTAGATCATTTTCACTGTCCCACACTTTACTCGCCCCCTTTCCTGCCCGAGGCGCGCCCCCTGTTCTGGTCTCTAAGGCTGTAGACGGATTTTGCCAGCTCCAGAACTTGCTATAAATGGAGTCCCTCACCACGTGACCGTTTTTGTCTGGCTTTGTCAGATGTACACGTCATGAATATTTTCCCCAGCCTGTGGTTTGCCTTTCATTTTCTTAAAGCAGAACTTCTTACTTTTGATAAAATCAGATTTACCAATTTTAACTTCTAAGATTAGTGCTTTTTGGGTATCGTCTAAGAAAGTTTGGCCTGATCCCGAGTTGTGCGGGCGTGTCCTGCGTGTCCTGCTGGAAGCTTCCCTAACCCTAACCCTAACCCTGACCCTCACCCTGACCCTCACCCTCGCAGGCCTCACTAGTCTTTGCGGTGCTGTCAGGTAGCGGTTGGCACACACGGTTCTCCCAGCACCACCCGCCCATTGCTTTGGGCTTTAGTCTAAATCGTGGGTTTCTGGAGTCCATGGGGTGGGGAGCATGGCGGGGGCAGCACGTGGAGCAGGGGCTGGGTTTGGGCCGCTGCTGCTCCTGACGTCCAGAAGCTGTGGGTCCAGGAGGCATTGGGGGGCCGGGTGGTCTGGGTAGAAGGTGCGGGCGAGTCAAAGCTTGGAGGTCTGAGGGCTTCCACATTTAGGGCCTGGGGAGAGAGACGGGCGTCGGTAAGGGGGGGGAGAGGGCGGGAGCCAGAGGGAAGGGGCTGTTCGTCCAAGTGTCCAGGGCTGCCGGGGGCCAGGACCCAGGGGAGTGACCGTGGGCCCGCCAGCTGCGGCGTCTGGAGAGAGGGGCGTGGGGAGGTTGGGGACCACAGTGTGGAGGCCTCCAGGTATGGGGAGGACGAAGGCTTTCATTTTGATTTTTAAGACGGACAGTGTAACACTTGGTGTGTGTCACGGGAACTCTGGTGGCCAGGGTCAGAGATGGGCCGGTGGCGGGGACAGGTGGCGGGGACAGGTGGCGGAGGCGGCCGTGCTCTGGGAGGGAGGGAGGACGCCAGCGGGTAAGAGGGGCCCAGGCGGGCCGAGGAGGGGCGGCCGGTCCTCTGGCCGCGGGAGCCTAGGGAATACGTGGTGCAAGTGTGGGGGGTTGTGGGCAAGGAGGGGACAGAAGGGACGAGGCGCGGGGTGAGGAGGCAACGTGGGGGTGGGCAGAGGCTGCAGGGCTGCAGGTGGAGGGCCGGGAGGGGCAGAGCCCACGGGGCTCCTGTGGTCCGCGCTTCTGGGACTCAGGATGGGGTGGGGCGGTGGGGAGTGTGTGGGCGTGGCGTGGGGTGTGGGCGTGGCGTGGGAAGCACTGGGCGTGGCGTGGGGAGTGTGGGCGTGGCGTGGGAAGCACTGGGCGTGGCGTGGGGCCCCTGTGGGCTGGCGGTGGGAGTGTTGGCAGGCGTGGAGTCCCTCCGCCGGGTCTCCAGGTCGGTGCTGGAATGTCACCAGTTAAGAGCGCTTGGGCGCTCTTTCCTTTGCCTTGATATCTGTTTCTCTTTTGCAGATTTAAAACGAGACTCGGCTTCTTCTCCCACGTTAGACAGATACAAAATAGCAAGACAATTAACAGAGAAAGCAATCAAGGTAAACGCTGCTTGGCGGTTTGTGGGAAAAGAGTCACCTTTTTTTTTTTTTTTTTGTCTTTTGTCTTTTTCCGTGTCCGGCAACGGATCGCAACCCTCAGTGTTGCCCCCGTACCGGACCGGGGACCGGCAACTGGCATCCAGTGCGCCACCGGGCCGGCCCAACCTTTTTAAAATTATGAAATCATTGTCTTCATTTTAGTAATGTTTATTTGTCCCAAAGGCTATTTTGTCCCATATTTATGTTGTTTTATTTTCTAACTTATCTGTAGGCTTATGCTTTTGATGATCTCTTGTAAACAAAATAGTTGGGTTTTTTTGTCTGTTTCTTTGTTGTCATTTTTTCAAATCGGGCCTGGCACTCTTTGCCTTTTAACTGGAGCATTTAGTGTATTTATCTATAATTAAACCACCAGTATATTCAGGTATTTCTACCTCCTCGTTTCAGTCATTTGGTATGTCCTGTCTGTTCACTTTTCCTCTCCTTTCATGCCTTCTTCTGCACTGATTACTTTTTTTAAATTCCATTTTCCCCTCTCTTATATGTTAGAAATCTTACATTCTGTTTTTATTCTTTTTGTGGTTCCTTCAGGAATTGTATTCTACTGACTTACTAAAAGTAATCCATTCTTTTAAAGTTATTTGATTTGACCACAACTCAGCAGGGTGTTGGGGTGGACAGGAGGTCTTGCAGAGCTGTGGGGTGCTGGCCCACTGCTCCCTCAGCACAGCCTCTGCTGGCGACCAAGCTTGTCCACATGCCCTGTCCATTGGGGACGGTGGGGGGGAAGGCATTGGGCAGATTTTCCAAGTAGGAGGAGGCTCAGAGAGATCCTCTGACCTGCACAATCCCTCATGAGGGCGCTGGAGTACAAACTCACCGCTTCCAGCACAGGCGTGAGCTTGCTCTGGTGTGCGCTTCTGGTGAGGTGTGCAGGTCCTCCTGCTGGGACCTGCGTCAGCTGTCTTAGGCTGCATCACAGGTTTCCTTGGGCTCAGCTGCATAAAACAGCATCATGTGTTGTCCCACAGTCTGTGTGGGTCCAGAGTCTGGGCGTGGTCATAGACATTGACATCCAGATAGGCCTGGACACTCATCTAGGGGCACAGCCATGAAGCATCATCCCCCAAGCTCCCCCCGGGTGTTGGCAGAGCTCGTCTCCTGTGGTGTCCTGCTTCTTCAAAGCCAGCAGTAGCGGGGAGAGTCTCTGCTGTTTTGAGTCCCTAACTTCAGGAAGTCCACGGACCCTCTATTGAAGGACTTGCCTGTTAGGTCAGGCCCACCCAGGATAATCTGTCTTTTCATTAAATCAAAGTCAACTGATTAGGGACCTTAATTACATCTGCAAATCCTGTCACATTTGCCAAATAATGTCAATAATCATGGGAGCAATGTTCCACACCTTTGCAACATGCTACTATTGGTAAAACAGTTCACAGGCTCAGGGGAGGGGACTCCTTGTGGGCCACCATAGGTAGGTCCACTGCAGGACCCTGGTGCATCTAAGCCACTTCCCCCGGCCCTGCCCCTGCTGATGATGCATGTGTTTGCCAACCCTGCAGGTGACCATGTGCAGACCATGTCTCTGCCTTTGCCCAGCAGCTTGGGCCAGGACTGCAGCATGGCCATTCCTCTCCTGCCCTTTGCCCCTTGCTGGGAGGTCAGGGCAGGCGCAGGCCTGTGCATGCCACCATCTGCCATCTGCCTGCCTCAACCCCAGGCAGCTGAGTCATTTCCATGGTGACAGGTGCAGAGCCAGCTGCTTCTGGTCTGGCCGGCACCATGGTACTACTGCCCTTGGCCCTCCCTAGGCTGCCCAGTGGTTCCTCCCCCGTCCTCAAACCTCAGGCAACATGCTCCACCCAAATATGAGGGACGGTCACCTTCCTAGAGAGAAGAAAGCCACACAGGACAGTCCTGCATGGCTGCATCTCCCCTCACTTCCAAAATCCAGACCACATCCTGAGTTGGGATTGCTCCTGGCTATGTCTTTGGAATCACCCATTTTCCTGGTTCTGCTGTGGCCTTCTAGCCCTTTGCTTGTGTGTGAGCACCTCTGTGTGCCAGACCCCCATGACAAAGCAGACATACATAGAACAGCGGCTGTCCATCAGTCTCCCCTGCAGGTGGGCTATGTCCCCCCAGACGCACTCACACACACACATACACACCCTTTGTTTTAGATGTTTCCAGTGTTCTTGAAGCAGGACATGGATGTCTTCCCACGAGTGCATGGTCTGTCTCCTTTTGCTTTGAAAACTCCTCTTATAGGGAAATCATAACTATACAGGGCCTATTGCCCAATGCACAGCAAGTCACACACTGACCCCAGTCTTTGCAGCAGAGAAATGTTTAATTGCAAGGTAGCCAAGCAAGAAGATAGGAGAAATAAATCTCAAATCTGCCTTGTCAGCAGTGCAAAAGAAGGCAAATTTATGGGGAAGTAGCTGAGCTGGTGTGAGGCATGGTGGGTCATGATTGGTTAAAGGTTTGAGAGGGTCTTTAGCAATTCATGCAGGTGCAAGCCATCTGCACACCTCTGCATGGGTGGCATGTTCAAAAACTGGCAGCATTAGCAGGATCTGCAGGTGGAGTTTTCGGCCCTCTGATGCCAAAAGGTCACCTTGCAGACATTTGCTCAGGTTCAGCAGAGAGGTCTACAGGCTCAACCAGTTTAGCCTGGTTTGTGCTGAGCCAAGCTGACTCTCAGTGTCCTGCAAAACACTTCAGACGAGTAACTTGTGACTTCTGCACCAGCAGCATTAGGTTAAAGACAGATAGGAAGAAATAGAGTGAGAGTTAGTTATGGAAATTAATGAAAGAAGAAACAATTTAAACAGGGAATACATTTTAACTGAAAAGTCACCCATGACAAAAAAATCAACTTGTTTTTCAGTTCTTTAATTTAAAATAAGCTCTTGCCATTTTAGGAAAAGAAGATTTTCTCTATCTGTGGACACTACCCAGTGATCCGGGCCGCTCTGCGGAGAAAGGGCTGGGTGGAAAAGAAGTTCCAGCTTCAGCCCAAGGTCATTTCAGATGTTGAGGATGAAGGTGAAGGTCACTGAAGAATCCTGAAGATGCCTTCTCTTTCAGTGTGGGACATTTGTGTGTCTGTCACAGAGTGGGGAGGGTCACCATCCTGGGTGTGGTGACCACTGTTACACCTCTCGCTGTGCAATGGAGACGCAAAAGAGATTACTCAAAGCAACATGAATGTGATGAGAAGCCCAAAGGGACTGCACCTCAGCAACTCCTCTGCTAGAAGGAGAAACTGGGTGCAGCCCTGAGTCAGTTTTTGCTTCAGTTTTTATTGTAAAGACAAGGAAATTATAGGAAAAGAACAAATGGTTAGTCAATCATAGTAAGAACATAAAGAAATTGGCTATGTAACAATCTTCATCCATGCACGCATGGCTCAAAATAGTTTAAACAATATACCATCAAAAGAGTCATAAATCTAAGCCATGTAACATGCAAAAGAAACAATAAGATTATCATTAAAGTGTCTGACTCCTTGAGAAACTCAAAGAAACAGCTTAAAGCAAAATGTGGAACAATCCCCATGAACTAACTAATCTAGCAGAACATCCTTGGAAATCTTAACTCACATATTTTCCCATCATTTAACTTTTGTTGTATTAAGGGTTATTGCCCTCAGAACAATCCCTGTTTTGCTTCAGTTCTCTTGTTCACATTAAAGGTTTTAGCCTGTGTAAGTTTTCTACTCACATATTTTCCCATCATTTAACTTTTGTTGTATTAAGGGTTATTGCCCTCAGAACAATCCCTGTTTTGCTTCAGTTCTCTTGTTCACATTAAAGGTTTTAGCCTGTGTAAGTTTTCTTCTCACAAAAATCTTCCAAAGATCCCATTATATTGACAATCAGTGTATACAATCCTTTACCTAAACAGTGATTAGCATTGATTCAGTGGGCTCTTGTCACCTAGCTGTAGGCTCTTGCCTCCTATCTGAAGACTTTTGTCCCATATATGCATGACCTAAACACCCTATCTAATAATCAAATAGGAATCAAGATTTCTAACCCTCTACAGACCACCCCTCAGGTCTCCACATACATGTATTGGGCCTCTCTGGCTCTGTGTCTACATCACCCTCCCAGTGACCTCCACCCCAGGTGTCCATGCCCAGGGAATGCCCTTTCAAGCCCCTGGTACTGGTCACTTCTTGGCATCCCACGTCCATGCCCAGACCAGACCTCCTCCAGCCCCAGCTCCCCGAAGGCCACTCCTCAGGCTCCCACAGTGCTGGCTGGTCCTCCTTGCTCTCTGCTGTCTGCTCCATCACACTCACCCTGAAGGACATCTCAGCCTCCAGGGGCTCCAGGCACCCTGGTGGGGGTGGTCTTCCATGAACACTCGTTGTTTGGGTACATGAGGGCTCTCACCACATACTCTAAGCCTGGCTCAGGACCCACAGAGGGCACCTGCTCCACCAACAGTGGGCCTCACCTGTGATAAGACTTCTGAGAAAGGAGCAGGTTGCTGTTGTGCCTGCTGTGCTGGGAGCCCGGCCACTGTCGGGATCCCCCCACAGCCAGATACTAGGACCTTTGCTGGCACTGATGTCTCTCTCTGTCATGTCTTGTTTGCAGAAAATAAATGTGTTGTAGTCAAAGAAAATCAGGAAATGGCTCTGGAGAAAACAGACGATATCCACGATGTGATGGTAGGTCCTGGCAGCACGCTCTTCTGAGGGATCCCAGGTGGCCTGGCATTGGGGTGGACCATGTCTTACCAAGGTTTTTCACTCTGTCACTGCTCTTGGTGCCCCTGTCATGGGGGAGGAATGACAAAGCCAGAATCATAAAAGTTCTCGTGACCAGGCAGTGGCCAGACTGGCTGGACTGGGGGTGGGACAAGCCCATCAGTACTGGACAAGCCAGAGGACGGGCCCTAGTGCTCCAGCTCTCCCTGCTCCCTGGCCCAATGGCCCCTGCACACAGGGCACAGCCTGGTGCCAGTAAGTCCTCTCCGTGAGTGTGGAAGGACCGAGGGGCACTGAGCGGCCAAAGTGCTGCAGGATGAGGGGTGGATGGGCCTGGCCAGCAAGTGGGGCAAGGTCTCCAGGAGAGCTGCATGCCCCCCCATGCCAGGCCCAGCCTCACCCCCGGCCTGGCTCTGTCCCCTCCCCTCCATAAAGAAGTAAAAAGACAAACCACCAAGTGGGAAGAGATGTTTGTGGTACATAGAATTTAAAAGATCAAATATCCAGAACATGTGGAGAACTCACAAATAAATAATGAAAAGACAAATAGAAAAAGGGGGGCCGAGCCCGTGGCGCACTCAGGAGAGTGCGGCGCTGGGAGCACAGTAGCGCTCCCTTCGCGGGTTCGGATCCTATATAGGGATGGCTGCCGGTGCACTCACTGGCTGAGCGTGGTGCGACCGTTCTCAAAAAGGACAAAAAAAAAAAAATAGAAAAAGGGGTAAAACTTCGGGCAGGCACTTCACAAATGGCCATGAGCACGTTGTTTCAAGTCCATGGAGTTAATTCCATTTCCATGAAGCAGCACAAGCCCCATGTAGCGACGCATCCGTGCACAGTGAGCGTGTGAAGGAAGCCGCCGTCCTGGCTCGGGCTGCTGCAGCCACGGCCGAGGCGGCTTTTGAACAGCAGATGTTTGTTTCTCACGGCTCCGGAACCTGCAAGTCTGAGGTCAGGTGCAGCACGGCTGTCTTCTCGCTGTGTCCTCACACGGTGGAAAGAGGGCAAGGGTCTCTCTGGGGTCCCTTTTTTGAGGGCACTAATCCCATTCATACTGTCACCTTGGGGGTGAGGATTTCATCATAGGCATCTTGAGGGGACGCAAGCATCCTGTATGCTGCATGTGGAAGGAGAGAGACAGGTTGGTGACCAAGAAGGGTACTTCCACTCGGTTGGTGATGCTCTGTCCTTCAGCCTAGGACACGGTGGTTACTGTGCTACTCTTTGTACTGTTGTATTTCTAACGGAATTCATAACAGGCTTTGAAAAGGAGGCTTGTATCTGAAAGTAGCACCCCGAGCTGTAGATATCACTCTAAGGGCAGCAGAAGGAGGTCGGACCCTGAAAAGAGAACCCAGTGTGCAGAGCCCAACGGCTCAGCCAGCCAGGCCCCTGTGAGTTCTGGAGAGTGATGTTGGCTGCGGGGGTCCCAGCCCCCCCGTCCCTCAGCACAGCAGGGGGCAGCAGGAGGCCCCAGGCCTGGCCTGCACTGACCGCGGGGTCAGAAGAGAGCACGCAGTGGAACGTGGCGTGTGGGATTGTGACCATGCACGTGTGTACTCATGTTCCTGTGTCCGCACATGCTTGTCTGCAAAGACCCACTCAGAAGGGTCTTCACCATGGTGGTGGGTCAGGGGTTATCTTTGGGGGGTAGGATTTTGGGGAATGTTTTCCTCCCCTGCACCTCTTCATATGGTTAGAATTTGTGACCAAATGCATGCTGCTGCTGGTGAGCAGGAACGCAGCTGTGGGCTTCGGCTCCACCCCACGCCCTCCGTGCCCTGCTCTGTACAGTGGGGCAGGAGAAGCCCGTCTCCTGGGGGCCTGGGGAGCTTCTGTGCACCCCATGTCCTTGAGCCCCATGTAGAAACCCATCGGAAGGGCAGCTTGGACCCCACTCACAGCCCCACGGAGGAGGCTGCCTCGAGCTTGAAGCTGTGCACCTGCTCTGGGACAGCAGAAACCGAGTGGCCGTGCTGCTCCCCACGCTCTGCACATGGCAGGCCCTCAAGGGACCTGCGCCAGTGGCCGGCATGAAATGCCTGCAGAGCTCTCGTAGTGCACATGATTTAAAACCTGATTTTCTTCATTCTCAGTTGTGTCCGCCTGGTCAGGAAGACGTGACCTTGGATGTTGGATACTGATGAAGGTTTCTTTCTTGCCAGTCTAGGTTGGTAAAAAATGAAATGCCCTACTTCCTCTGGACCATCAAAAGGGATGTCATTGACTATCACAGCCTGTCCGGTGACCAGATGCTGAACCATTTTGGGAAGACGGCTTCCTTCACCACCAAGGTGAGTGGGAGAGTCTGGGGCCTTGGCAGGAGTGGTCCAGGGCCAGTGCCTGCCTCCCAGGCCCTGCCAGGTGGGGAGGAGGCATCTGGAGGCCGTGCTGTGGTTGGGACAGCTCACGCACACCCGTCACCTCCCAGGTTCTCCCCAGGGCTCCCTGGCACCTCCTGCTGGTGGGTCCGAGGCTGTGGCAGAGTTCCTCAGCACCTGCCCCACCTACCCACAGCCCACAGGGCCCCTGTGCCCCTTGCTCTGTGCCTCTGGGTGGACTGGGGCCACAGAACCCCTTCCTCCAGGGACACAGGCCAAGCCAAAGATGGGGCAGGAGCTGTGGGCCCTGAAGGGGCTCTGGGTCCTTGAGAAAGGTGTTGCCCTCGCCCACAGGGCCTTGATGGGGCACCTCTTGCTCTCGTCACTTCCAGCCTCACAGCACCTCCCGAGGTGGCCCACACACCCATCCACACTGAGGTCTGAGGCACAGGGGTGGGGCCTGCCCAGGACATGCAGATGTGGTGGACCCTACTCGGGAGAGGTCTGGGCAGAAGGGCTTCCCTGGCAGACAGGGAAGATGTGGAAGGGGTCAGGGACGAGGCTCCCAGGTGTCTTGCGAGGGTCAGCTGGCCTCCTGTCCACCTGTCCACCTTGTCTTAGCTGTCTTACCTGCATAGGGGCAGCAAGTCCCATGTCTGCCAGGTGCCCACTGACTGCCCAGTCAGGAGACATTGCTCCCTGCAGAGACCCCCGTGTGGACAGCTGGTCCCCAGCAGGCTCAGCAGTTAGCGGGCTCCGCCTTTCCTGGGCACTGGGCACTGGGCACTTCTTCCCATATGGGCTGATGAAATGGACATTGAGGTGCTGGGATTTCATGACAGGCCTCCTTAACTGTAACTGTCGAGTCTGGGTGGACAGAGCAGTGGGCCTGCGGCCATGTTCCAAGCCCCAAAACCTGTCCTCCTTCCTGGTGTCAGAGCTGCAGGACCCTCTGAGGCCCATTTAGGGACCTAGAGGCAGATGTGGTGCCCACCAGCCCTGGCACTGCAGACACGACCTCTCGCCCTCCCCTGGGGCTGCCCGGCCTGCACTTACACTGGCTGGCCTGGGGGGCTGGGGAGGGGTAGACGGCCAGTCCTCGCCTTGCGAACGTGGTGCAGCTGGGCCACCTGCTGCGGGCCCCTAACATGCCGCTGTCTCTGGAGATCGGGCTGTGCGTGAACATGCGGAGCCTGCCGTGGTACGCCCAGGCCAACCCCGACTCCTTCTTCCCGCGCTGCTATGGCCTCTGCACCGAGAGCGAGAAGCTGGAGTTCCTGGGTGAGTGGCCGGGACCACAGGGGGACCTCAGGTCCACCTAGCAAGGGCTAGTCCAGAAGCTTCCATGCAACATCAGGAAGGTGGGAAGGGAAGGCACTGGGGGCTGGCAAGGCTGCGGAGCAGGACAGGGTGTCTGTGGGCTTGGTTCTGACAGGGTGCAGGGCTGGGGTGGGGAGGCGGGCGTGGCGGGAGCCTCACCGGCATGTGCTGGTTCAGAGCAGCTGGGCATCTTCTCTGCCACATGGTGGGCTGTGGGCAGCCCCCTCTGCTTGGAGCTGGGGCTGGGCCTGGGTCTGCAGGACCCACAGCCATGTTCCAACTTCTGTGCTGGATGAGTGCAGCCCAGCAGAGGAGGGCACAGCCACTCACCATGTCCAGGGAGGTCTAGATGGACTCCGTGAGATGGGGAGTGGGTGGGAGACCACAGAGAGCCATGGTGCCAACAGCAGAGGGGCTTCTAGAGACATCCCTGTGGTCAGTGCTGAGACAGATTGATGGGGCGGGTGCTGAGGACAGAGCACCAGGGAGGGGACTGCCTGGCCACTGTCTTGGGGAGGGGTGGGGGTGCTCAGGAACGGTGGCCCTGGGGAAGGAGGAGCGGGCGGGGCAGCGTGTGGACAGGGCAGGTGCGCAACTGAGCCATGGCTGGAGGTCGAGGCATTTGTGCAGAGGATGGGGGAGAAGGACACGGTTGGAGGCGGAGGCCGCGGGCAGAGCAGGGCAGAGGGGGCAGCCTGGACAGCAGGGCTGTGAGGGTGGGAGTGAGGCCTGCAGGCCGTGGGACGCTGCGCTGAGGATGGGAGTGGGGGCTTGTGCTGCCCTGGCTGCGTCCCCTGTCCCCAATCCGCATGCAGGCAGAAGGGCAAGGCCTCGGTGTCCTTTTAGCTGACTTCCGGCGCACCATGGCATCCAGTATCCTCAAGTGGGTCGTCAGCCACCAGAGCTACACCAGGAGCAAACTCAGGAACAGGCGGGAGGATGCCGGGAACAGCGACCTGGGCAACAAGAGAGGTGTGTCTGGCCAGAGTGGTGTGGCGTGGGCGAGGGCGGTATGGCAGGCCAGGGCCAGCGTGGCGCAGGTGAGGGCCGGTGTGACGTGGGCGAGGGCAGGCGGCCCCTGTTCAGGGCATCTGGCATGTCCTGGGCACGGTCAGTACTGAGGATCTGAGCAGCCCGGGACTGATGCACCCGCACATCTAACGCATCTGGCTGTTCTCAGAGCAAACCTATTTCCTCCAGCCCCTGGCAACCGCTGATCTTTTTACTGTCTGCATAGTTTTGCCTTTTCCAGAATGTCGTACAGTTGGAATCGTACAGCATGCAGCCTTTTCAGACTGGCTTCTTCACTGAGTGGTGTGCATTTAAGGTTCCTCCGTGTCTTGTCACATCTTGATTGCTCGTTTCTCTTTAGTGCTGAATCATATTCCATTGTCTGGAAGTGCCATAATTTACTTAGTTGCTCACCCACCAAAGGACATCTTGGTCACTTGCAAGTTTTGGCAATTATGAATAAAGCTGCTGTAGACATTCAGGTGCAGGTTTTGTGCAGACGTAAGTTTTCAGCTTATTTGGGTAGACACCAAGGAGCACACTTACTGGATGGTATGGCAAGAGTGTGTTTAATTTTGTAAGAACCTGCCAACCTGCCTTCCAAGGGGGCTGTACCCTGTTGTGTTCCCACCAGCGATGGATGGGAGTCCCCGTTGTTCCGCATCCTTGCCAGCATTTGGTGGTGTCGGTGCTCTGGGTTTTCATCATTGTGATAGGTGGGCAGCAGTACCTCACCATTGTCTTAATGTGCAATTCCCTGTGACGTGTGATGTGGAGCTCCTTTTCATCTGCCTACTTACCATGTGTATGTCTCTTTGGTGAGGTGTCTGTTCAGACCCCTGCCCATTTTTAAACTGGCTTGTTTTCTTATTGTTGAGTTTCAAGAGTTCTCCCTTTATCAGATGTATGCAAATATTTTCTCCCAGTCTCTGGCTTGTCTTCTCATATTCTTGACAGTGTATTTTGTAGAGAAGAATGTAGAATGAGTTAAGAAATAGTCCCTCTGCTTCTACATTCTGGGAGATATTTTAGAGAATTGCTATAATTTCTTCCTTGAATGTTTGGTAGAATTCACCAGTGAACCCATGTGGTACTGATGCTTCCTGTTTTGGAAAATTATTAATTATTGATTCAATTTATTTACTAGATATGGTCTATTTTGATTGTCTTTTCTTGGTGAGTTTCGGCAGATTGCATCTTTCGAGGAATTGGTCCATTTCATGGTTTTCAAATCTATAGACATAGCATTGTTCATAATTTTGCTTTATTATCCATTTTTTAATGTCCTTGGGATCTGTAGCAATGTCCCCTCTTTCATTTCTGATATTAGCAATTTGTGTCTTCTCTTTTTTTTCTTAATTAGCCTGGCTAGAGGCTTATTGATTTTATTGCTCTTTCCCAAACACTAGATTTTGGTTTCATTGATTTTCTCTATTGGTTCACTACTTTCAATTTCATTGATTTCTAGTTTAATTTTTATTATTTCTTTTCTTCTGCTTACTTGGGATCTAATTTGCTCTTCTTGTTTAATTTTCTAAGGTGGAGGCTTAGATCACTGATTTTAGATTTTTTAAATTTTCTAACACATGCATTCAATGCTATAAATTTCCCGCTGAGCACTGATTTGCTGCATTCCACAAATTTTGATAAGTTGTATTTTCATTTCATTTAGTTCAAAATATTCTTTAATTTCTCTTGAGATTTTTTCTTTGACTGATGTGTCTATTTAGAAGTATATTCTTTAATTTCCAAGTACTTAAAAAATTTCCAGCTATCTTTCTCTTACTGATTTTTAGTCTAGTTCCATTGTGGTCTGAGAACATATATTATATGATTTCTTTTAAATTTGTGTGTGTGTGTGTGTGTGTGTGTGTGTGTGTGTGTGTGTGTTTTAAAAGATGACTGGTAAGGGGATCTTAACCCTTGACTTGGTGTTGTCAGCACCACGCTCACCCAGCGAGCTAACCGGCCATCCCTATATGGGATCCGAACCCGGGGCATTGGTGTTATCAGCACCGCACTCTCCCGAGTGAGCCACGGGCTGGCCCTGGATGTGGTCCAGCTTGGTAAATGTTTCATGTGAACTTGAGAAGAATGGGTATGTTGCTGTTGGATGGGTATTTTACAGATGTCAATTATATCCAGTTGATTGATGGTACTGTTGAGTTCAACTATATCCTTACTGATTTTTCTTCCTGCTGGGTCTGTCCATTACTGATACAGGGTGTTGGAATCTCTAACAGTGAGCTCATCTCTATTTGTGCTTGAAATTCTATCAGGTTTGCCTCATGTATTTTGAAGCTGTGTTGTTAGGCACATACATATTAAAGATTGTTGTGTCTTTCTGGAGAATTGACCTCTTCTTCATTATGTAATGTTCTTTTTATCTCTGATAATTTTCCTTGATCTAAAGTCTGTCTGTCTGAAATTGATACTGCTCCTTCAACTTTGTTTTGACTAATGTTAGCAGGGCATATTCTTCTCCATTCCTTTACTTTTAATCTCTCTGTGTCTTTCTATTTAAAGTTGGTTTTTTGGGGCTGGCCCCATGGCTCACTTGGGAGAGTGCAGTGCCAATTGCACCGAGGCCATGGGTTCGGATCCTATATAGGGATGGCCAGTGCGCTCACTGGCTGAGCGTGGTGCAGACAACACTAAGCCAAGGGTTACGATCCCCTTACCAGTCAAAAAAAAAAAGTTGGCTTTTATAGAAAGCATATGTTGGGGTCTTGTGTTTAAGTAACTCTGACATTTTGTCTTTTACAATCAGTGTATTTAGACCATTGACATTTGAAGTGATTATTGATGGAGTGGGTTCACATCTACCATCTTTGTTACTATTTTCTATTTGTTGCTCTTGTTCTTTGTTCCTGCTTTTATTTCCAATCTTTTTCTGCCTTTTGAGGAATTGCTTCCAGCAATGAACAATTACAGTTCAGGCTTTTCTATGCCAGCACTGGTTCCTGTGGAGGTTTCAGCTCTGGTACATTGTGATTCTCAGTATTCTCCTGTCTGTCTCTCCACTGTTGGGGGCAGTGGCTTACCTTGGCCTCACTTCTCTGATGGATCTAAGAAGACTTGTTGGTTTTCCATTTGCTCAGCTTTTTACTTGTTAGGGTGCAGTGGCGACTTCCAAGGTCCTTACGTGTTGGACCAGAAATCAGAAGTGCAGAACTGCAGTTGGTTTGAAATGGTTAATTTTCCATTCTGTGAAAATCACCTCAATAAAATAAAAAGTAAATGCATACTGTAATTTCTCCAGCTACCACATAAACTCGAGGGCTTTCTCCTGCAGCACCACCTTGCTGGGTCTGCTCTCCATCGTGAGTGCCTCAGCTAGCACAGCACCCAGACCCCCCTCCTCTGTGGCATTGTTTTCATACATCTTCCAGGCAGCCCTGCCCCCATTCCTGGGGTTGCCTCTTTTCAGCTCCCCCATAGCTCGGTGAATGGATGGTTGGTGGTTCTTAGCCCATTGCCCACATTCCTGAGGCCACTTGAGATTTGCCTTCATCCTGTGCTTGCAACAGTGGTCCTGAGTCATGAGCTCCAGAGGAAGTGGGATGTGTGTAGTGGTCAGGTGCAGAGAGCCACTGAGCCCACCATGAGAGTGCTCTGAGAAACCCTGTAGTGATGGGGGGAGATGGCACTTATCCTGAGGGCTTGTGAGCATCAGTGCAATGCAGGTTTATTCACAAAATGTTTACTGGATACCAAGTATGAGCTCGAAAAAATAGTTTTTGTGAGAGTTCCTGAGAAGTACTGTGTTAGTCCATTTTCTGTTGCTTATAATAGAATACCTGAAACTGGGTAATTTATAAAGAAACAGAATTCATTTCTTAAGGTTTTGGAGGCTGGGAAGTCTGAGGTCCAGGGGGCGCATCTGGTGAGGGACTTATAAAGCCCCCAGTCTATTCCCTGATAACCCATTAACCCATTAATTCATGAATGGATTAATCCATTCATGGGGCATGGTCCTCATGATCCAATCACTTCCCAAAGGCCCCACCTTTCAAATACCGTGGTCTGATTTCCTACGCTTTTAACACTGTTACATGGGGATCAAGCTTCAGTGAGTTTTGGGGGGGCATATTCAAACCATAGCAAGTACTATCTCATTGCTACCACGAGGAGCTGAGAGTCTATGTTGCAGGGTCTGTGTGTTTACGGGGGAGCTGCTCATAGAACAGTTGGAGGATGGGACTGTTCAGGAGAGGAGAGCTTACCTGCCCAGGGGCAGGTGTGACACCCAGGGCGGCTGCCCAGAGAAGCCTTTTAGCACAGAGGGGGTGGGGCAGCCTTTGTCTATGGCATCTGGTGCACTCCGCAGGGGTTTGCAGGGCTGTTCCTTGGCCATGGCCCCCACTCCATGTGCTTGTGCTTGGGTTTCAGATCCTGAGAATGCTGAAGCTCAGCCCAGGGGCATTTCCGAGCAGCTTGTGGACACTGCATGTAGGGTGTGTCAGACCTACCTGGGACAGCTGGAGCATGAGGACATTGATGTGTCAGAGGAAACCACGGAGGACCTCACGGAGGCTGAGTGGAAGGACCTGACCCAGCAGTACTACACCCTTGTCCAGTAAGATGCTAGCTTGTGCAGAACTCCCGACCTGCTAGCTCAGCAGCAGTGAGCTCACAACACACATGCCCACATCAATCCCCTCACGCAGGGGATTTCAGGAGCTGCCCGGGGCAGTACAGCTTCTGGGTGTTGGGGCACCTGTCCAGGTGTTGGGGTGCCTGTCTGAACACTGGGGCATCTTTCTGAGCATTGGGCCACCTGTCTATATATTAGGGTGACTGCCTGAATGTTGGGGCACCTGTCTGGGTGTTGATGAACTTGTCTGGGTGTTGGGGCACCTATATGGATATTAGGGTGCCTGTCTGGATGTTGGGGTGACTTCTAGGAGTTGGGGCACCTGTCTGGGCGTTGAGGTGACTGACTGAGCATTGAGGCACCTTTCTGAGGTTTGGGGCTCCTGTCTGCTTCCAGGTTAGCTTAAGTTTTAAATATATATTTATTGAGTTATAATTTGAATACCATAAAATTTACTTATCATAAATGTACAATTCAATGATTTTTAGTAAATTCACAGTTGTACAACTATCATGCAACCTAGTTTTAGAACATTTCAGTTACCCCAGAGTTCAATCCTCATTCCTGACCTAGTCTTTTTCAGCCTCCCTAGGTTGCATTTTCTGTTTTTTTTTTTTTTCCTTTTTGTCTTTTTTACTGACCGGCAACGGGATCGCAACCCTCAGTGTTGCGCCCGCACTGTGCTCAGCCAGTGAGCGGGAACCGGTCTCCACATGGGATCCGAACCCTCGGCGGGAGCGCCGCTGCACTCCCAAGCGGCGCACTCTCCAGTGCGCCACTGGGTCGGCCCTCTGGTTTTTAATAATACTGAGTCTTCCAATCTATGTACATAGACTGTTTCTCCATTTATTTAGATCTTTAAAAATTTATCTCAACCATGCTTTGTAGTTTTCAGTGTTCAAATCTCGCACCTCTCTTGTTAAATGCATTCCTATGTATTTTATTCTTTTTGATGCTATTATGAATAGAATTATTTTTTTAAATTTTATTTTAGGATTTTTTTCTTTGCAGTATGTAGAAATACAATTTATTTTTGTATATTCATGTTGTATCTGTGACCTTGCTAAACTCATTTACTAGTTCTAATAGTTCGTGGTGTGTGCATGTGTGTGTATTCTTTAGGATTTTCTACACACAGGATCATGTCATCTGTGAAAAAAGACAATTTTATTTCTTCATTTCCAATTTGGATTATACATACATATTATATATAAAATATCTATTAATGTATTTAAAATATGGACTCACATGGATACGTGTATATGTTCAAAACAGCTGCATGATTCTTGCATGTTTGGAAACTGTATAAGTGGTAAAAATAGAGTGTATATGTCATCTCTGAGTAACCACTGAAAAATAAGCCAAATCATAGCTAAAAGCTACTAGCAGAGATAAATCAAATGATATAAAATGCCAGATGAATCCAAAAGGATGAAGGAGAGGACAAATGAACACGGATGGGAGAGGGGACAAGTGAAAGACACTCGGTGCGATGGCAGGTTCCGACCCACCTCTGCCAGGGATTTCCCCAAGTCAATGCGGTAGACACCTCCATTAGAGACAAAGGTTTTCAGAGTAATGTCCTTTTTAAAAAAAGATTCACTGTGTTTATGAGACACCTTTTAAATATAATTACACGTATTTGAAAGTAAATGAAATGACACATTGAAAGTAAATGTGGCTGTCTTAATATCAGACAAAGTTGCCTTTAAAGCTAGAAATGTGATTAGGTATAAAGACAGACACTTCATAACAACAAATGCCAACTCAACAGAAGGATGTAATCCTAAATTTAAATGTAATTAATAAAACAGCTTCAATGTGTTTGAAGGAAATATTAACAGAACTAAAAGAAATAGACAAGTCCACATTCACAGTCGGAGATTTTAACACACGTTTCTCAGTTCTTGATAGAATAAGCTAATAAAATATCAGTAAAGATAGAGAAGCTTTGAATAACACTACTGGCTAAGTTGGGCTCGATGACATTTTTAGAACACTTGATCCAATTACTAAGGAATACACATCCTTTCAAGGGCACACAGCAGACCTTAGATCAAGGGTAAACAAATTTGAAAGAGCTGAAATCATAGAGCGTATGGGCTCTGACAAAATGGAATTAAACTAGAAATCAACAACAGAAAGACAATTATCAACCTCCCAAATATTTGGAAATTAAGCACAGATTTTAAACAACTCATGGGTCAAAGAAGATATGACAATAGAAATTAGAAAAAATTTTACTGAATGAAAATTAAAATAAAAATATGAAAACCTGTGAGGTTTGGCTAAGCAGTGCTTATTGAGAAATTTTTACCGTTAAGTGTGCAAATAAGAAAGGCTGAAGACCAGTCTCAGATGAAATGCTAGTTTCATTTCGAGAAACTAAAGAACAGAAAATTAATTCCAAAACTAAGTAGAAGGATGACAATAAAAAGTATAAGAGCAGAAATAAACTGAGGAAAAGAACAATAAAGAAAACCCATAAAGATAAAGCCAACAGTTTTTTAACTGATAAAATTGATAAACATTACCAAATCTGATGAAGTAAAACAGAAGAAAACACAATTTACCAGCGTTAGGAACAGTGAGAGGACATCACCGCAGACTTCAGTGAAATTAAAATAATGAGAGAACGTAATGAACCACATTACGCCAGTAACTTTGCCAACTAAGATGAAATGAACGAATTCTTTAAAAAACACAGTTTACTAAAACAGGCTCAAAAAGAAAATAGAAATTTTGAATAGTCTGTATTTGTTAAATAAATTAAACTGTAATTTTAAAAACTTTCCCACAAAGAAGAATCCAAGCCCATAATTTAGGCTTCACTGTAGAATTTTTCTAAGCAGTTAATAAAAATTAATACCAATGATACACAAATGCTTTCAAGTAATACAGAAGGAGGAAATGCTTTCTAATCATTTTATGAGGCCAGAAAAAGCCTGATATCAAAGCTTGAAAAGGGCAAAGTGAAAAAGTTATGGGTCAATATTTCTCGTGGGTATATATACAAAAATCCTAATCAAAGCCAAACCAGGGATATGTGGATAAAATAATACACCATAACCAAATTGGCTTTACTCTAGGAATGCAAGGTTGGTTTAACATTCAAAAGTTAATCAGTGAATTTTATCACATTGACAGAATAAAAAATAATAGCTTTAGATGCAAGAAGTTGATGAAATTCAATACCCGTCCATGTTAAATTCTTTTAGCAACTCAAGAAAAGAAGAAAGCCTTCTTAATTTGATAAAGTTTATCTATAAAAATCAAACAGCTAACGTATTGCTTAGTGGTTATACATTGGAAGTATCCCCCTGGAATCGGAACGGGACAGTGTGCTCACCATCAGACCCCTAGGCAGCGTGGACCGAATGGTCTGTCTAGTTTAATAGCACAGGAAAAAGAAAAGGCATAAAGATCAGAAAGGAAGAGGTAAAATTTTATTTGCAGATGACATGATTGTGCACATAGAAAATTTTTTAAAAATATAAAGTATTAGAATGAAGTGAATTTATCAAGGTCAATGTACAGAAGTTTGTTGTATGTCCATGTCATATGAGAGGGTCTTCAAAATGCCCACGGAAAGAGTCATATTATCTTTTAATTTCATTTTTCCACAAATTTTTTGAAGTATCCTCATAGAAGCAATTGTAAAATGAAATTTTAAAAGCAATTTACAATAACACCAAATAACAACAAATATCTAGAAATAATTTAACAAAATACAAACCCCTAAACTGAAAATTATAAAGTAAAACTAAGAGATATTAAATACCTAATAAATGTATATACAGTTTATGTGTATGTGTATGTATAAGACCATGTTTGTGAATTAGAAGACTCAACAGTGTAGACATATTTGTTCTTCCCAGACTAATCTATAGATTCAATGCGATCCCAATCAAACCCTACAACGATTTGGGGGTGGGGGTGGTGGGAGGAATTAAACCAATTCTAAAATTTATACAGCAATATGAATGCTTTAAGAAAAGTCAAGGCAAGCTTGATCATAAAAACAAAATTAGAGGACTTTTGCTCCAAATTTCTAAACTTCCTCTAAGTCTACAATGTTAAGACAGGGTGGTATTGGGATAAGAAAGATAAATACACCAACGTAACAGTCTAGAGAGTCTAGAAACAGATCCTCATACATATGATCACTTGATTTAAGACCAAGGAGCCCCTGCAACTCAATGGGGAAAGGTTGGGCTTTTCACTAAATAGTGCTTGAGGGATGGACATCCACATGAAAAAAGATGTGCCTTGAATTCTGCTTCACAAAAACACAAAAATTAATTTGATGTGTATGTTAAAGTTAAAGAAAATAAGAGAACACTAGAGTACATCTTCATAACCATAAAGGAAAAGATTTCTTAAATGGTTCGCTAAAAGCACTAATCAAAATAGAAAAAAATTGCTATGTTGCATTTTATTGACATTAAGAACTCTGTTTATCAAAAAACACTATAAAGATAATGAAAAGACAGCCACAAACTGGAGGAATATATTTACAATATGTGCATCCAACAGAAGTCTCGTATCTAGAAGATGCGAAGAGCTCCTAGGAATCAATAAGAAAAGAGAAACAATTCAATTGAAAATGGCACTCAAAAGGCTTGAACAAGCACTTCGCACAAGACATCCAAATGGCCAATAAGCACATGAAAAGGTGCCCAATGTCGTTTCTCATCAGGGAAATGCAAATTAAAACGCAGCAAGATGCCGCTGCACACCCCGCAGAGTGGCTGAAGTTGGAGACTGGCACGTGCCGGCCAGTGCGCGGGCCGCTGGGACCCTGCACTGCGGCGGGGCCGTGACTTGGTGCAACCCATTTGGCAGAGTCTTTGCCAGTTTCTTATAAATGTAGGCACCTGTGTACCCCGTGACCTGGCTATTCCATTCCCAGGTATTTATCCAAGAGAAATGAGAACATATGTCTTCAGAAAGACTTCACCCATAATAGCCCAAATCTGGAAACTACCAAGTGTCAGAGAAGGGCCTGCTGACGCACGTGACGGGTGAAGCTCACAGCCGCTGTGTTGAAAGAGGCCAGACACAGGGAATATGCCGTGAGATCCCATCCACGGGAAGTTCAAGAGCGGACGACACGGGCCTGCACTGATGGAAGGTCAGGCTGGTGACTGTTGCTGCTGACTGGGACGGTGCACCAGGGGCCTTCTGAGGAGCCCGAAGTGCTCACGTCTCGATGGGTGCAGCCGCGTGAGAGTGTCCCTTGTAGAAATCGTCACGCTGATCTTTCCAGGAGTGCACTGTGCTCTCCACCCATTTTCTTGGACCTCAGCGATAAAGGAAGTCCCAGGAGTTACCGCGGGGTGGCAGTGTCAGACCCCACATGTCCTCTGTGGCGAGCCCGTCCGGGTCCAGCCCTTCCTTCCTGAGGCTCCCTGGATCCCCGTGAGGGGTGCCAGGCGTCAGGACCCAGAGAGCCCCGGCCGCTGTCCACCTTCCCACGCGGATCTGGAGGAACCGTGTCTGTTCTCGGACCAGTGTGGGAGTGTCCAGAACCTGCCAGATCAGGGGGCTCCTGAAACTTTGCAGGCCACTGTCGCATCCTCCGTTGGGCTCCTGAGCTTGCAGGTCCTCCCACCTGCCTCCCAGCCAGAGGCGACAAGATGTTGCCACCGTCGAGGGTGGTCCTGTCCACCTTGCCAGTGTGAGACAGAGGGGTGTGGAGGCCCTTCCCGGGGACAGCAAACCACTTGTCTTCTTTCGGAGCCAACGTCGCGAAACGCCACCTTGCCAGTGTGAGACAGAGAGGTGTGGAGGCCCTTCCCGGGGACAGCAAACCACTTGTCTTCTTTCGGAGCCAACGTCGCGACAGCATCCCCGTCTAGGGTGGCTTTGGCCAGGCCTGGCCTGGTGGACCCCACAGGTCCTGCCTTATTTACACCATGATCAATTGGGGCCACTCTACAGGCCAGACAGGTCTGTCACGGGGGGTGCTGAGGCCTGGCCGCACCCCATAGTCAACGTCTTGACTCTGGCCCCGCCATCCCACTGCCACCCTGGGTCACAGGGTGCTGATGCTGCAGAGCTGGGCTTGGCTGTCCAGCGCAGCCCTGCCTGGTGTGCACCCAGGGAGGCACCCACCACGTCAGGGGCTCCTGCTCTCTGCATCCGAACCACAGCTGCACAGTGGGGGGCCGCTCCCACACCCTCAGGAACACGCGCCTTCACTTTCCCCTTCTCACTGCCCTCCCACCCCAGCAGGCGTGGATGGAACACAGGTGTCCCATGTCCCCGAAAGCTTTGTTCTGTGGAGCCCTGTGGGAAACTCCCCCTTGCTGCAGACCTTGTCAGGAAGTCGGGGCCCCGCACTGACACCATCTGACCATTGCGCTGGGTCTGCCCACACATGGAGGGACCTGTGGGGCCCTGGGGGTGGCTGCTGGAGCTGGAGTGGGTCTCCCTCTCCTGGCAGCAGTAATGCAATTCCAAGCTCTAAATGCCACTCAGACAGTTCCACCAACCCCCCTTCCTCATTCCCCCAAATTTTGGTGGCTTCTCAAGTCGGTCCCATGGCTTCCATGACTCTGCAAAGCCACCCACAGGAACTTGGGGTCAGACTGACAGTCAAGCTTGCAGGACATTAGGCTGACAGCTGACCCGGGACACAGGCAGGCCTGTGTGGCAGGTCAGCTTTCCTTTTGGGGGACCATGCCAGGTGCCACCAAGTGCAGGTGGAACACAGCATGGGGAACCACCTTTGTCTCCCAGCATTTTTGTGTGGCCCCGGGCACAGCACTCCTGGGGGCTCATGTGCCAGCCCAGATCCACAGATTGGGGTACCATTGCTTTCACACACCCTTGTCCAGGAGCAGCCTTGTAGGGTCGCATTCCCGGTGTCCCTCTAGTTGGCAGAATGTCCTGGGCCTGCCCCTCACCCTTTTCTGCCAGGTCGGCCACTAAGCTGTCCTGGAGCCACAGCATCCGCTTGGTCCACAGGGCACCGTCTGAGTCTCATGCACTTTCTGGATCTTGTTTTGTAGTGGTGATGCTTTCATCTCCAATTCAAGACATTACTTCTCGCAGTGCCAGGCTCTGCTGAGCAAACTCACATCCGTGAACCCTCAGATGGGGATTGACGGGTTTCGGAACATCTGGATTATAAAGCCTGCTGCCAAGTCCCGGGGCCGAGGTGAGTTCTTTTGGTGTGGGTGTTCCCTGTGTGTGTGAGCTCACAGCCGTGATGGCCACCTGCTCGGTGCCAGCCCCTGGGAGCGAGGCACCCAAAGTCTCAGGGCTCGGGGATCAGTGGGGAAGGAAGGAAGGAGTTGAAAGCCAAAGTCGGCCTTGGGGCTCAGGACTCATGGGCCTGAGCATCCCAGAGGCAGAGGTGTCTTTGCAGCTCATGTTCTGATCCCCGTGCTGGATTTGGGTTTGCTCGATAGTTGGGATTTCCTCCTTTGTACTCCTCATAAGTTAAACTGTTCTATAGCTTTCTTTTTTTGACCTCCATTGATCTTGGCAACAGTCTTGTGCTAGCCTCTGAAATGGGTGGAGGACTTTCATCTCAAACCACAGTGGAATGCCTCTTTCTTGGACTTTTTATAGAAATCACCTGGAAATACCAGGCTCTCTTGGAGGTAGCTCTTTAACACCTCTTAAATTTTGTCTGTGGTTATTTTTCTGTTCGGGCTTTCTACCTCATCTTCCTGCAGCTGAGAATGGTCTCTCTTTTATTCCTAATGGTGAGTACTGTGTATTCCATTAACAAAGAAAAAGAAAAAAGAACCCTCCCCCCCCCCAAAAAAAAAACAAAAACAAAAACGAGAAACAGGGCTTCAAGGCAGTTTTCCAATCTTATCCATGTTTCCTAAGAACCAACTTTAGGTTGCATTTTTCAGTGTTTCTGTGAGGGATTTCTCCATCTTATAAAAAAAAAAACAAAAACAAAAACGAGAAACAGGGCTTCAAGGAGGTTTTCCAATCTTATCCATGTCTCCTAAGAACCAACTTTAGGTTGCATTTTTCAGTGTTTCTGTGAGGGATTTCTCCATCTTATTTCTGACTTAAATGCTCATTTCATTTATTTCTAATCTTTCTTGTGCAGTAATAAAAGCTTTAGGGCTATGAAATTTCCTCTGAATACGGCTTTAACTGCACCCTATTGTTTATGTTACATAATGTTCTCATTTTCCTCAGTATCTAAATAGACTTTTTACTTTTACTTTGGGTATTCTATTTGCCTTGTGAATTATTCTGAAGTTTTGGTTTTCTTTAGTTCACAAGTTGTTAATTATTATGTGATTTTTTAAAAGAAATATCTATTAGTCTGAGATTTTATTGCCTTCAGTCCTAAACATCTTCCATCCTGAAACACCTCTTTCCTGGGCTCACCCTCCCCTGGTGTCCTGTAGACTCTCAGGACTCTGCTGGCTCTCTCGCCAGCAAGCACCTGCCCTGCCTGGCCATGTGTGGTGTGCTCCTCCTAGGCCCTGTTCTGAGCCCACTCCTCTTCCTGAACAACATCTGTCTCCTCCCGTGCATCATGCCAAACCTTCCTCCCACTCCAGACGCCTGGACACCTCAAACCCTCTGCTCCAAACCAAATGGACCTCTGTGTGTGGTCACTGGCTGTGCTTTTTCCTGCTCTTGGCTGACCCTTGTGTGTCAGCCCAGAGTCCTTTTGGTGGTCGTTGCTGTGTCTTGAGCATCCATTTCAGGACAGCAAGGTCTCAGCTTACTAGCACTAGGAAATGAAGGTTGTGTGCTTCTGTGGGGAAGGCTCACCTCACCCCTCTGTGGATCGTGCTGCCCTCCACCCCTGTATCAGTCAGAACAGGCAGAGGGTGCTGTGTAACAAGCAGTACCAGAATCTCAGTGGCTCCCAGCAAGAACTGTGCATCTCTCACTCACACCTGCTGTAATTGCAGGATGGCACAGGTGGATGGTGGGGCATGCTCAAAGCCCCCCATCCTATGCATCATTCCCTGAGGCTTCAGGGATGTCCCAGCAGGGAGGAGCGGTGGCACTGAACACTGCAGCACAGAGCAGTGCTCCTCCCTTCTGCTCACGGGTCACTTGCCATTTGGCCTAACTTTGGGGGTGATGGTGGGAAATTGTAAAATCCTCCTGCACAGGTGGAGGAGGACCAGGTGGGGATGAACCTCAGTACCCACTTCCTGTCCTGCTCCTGGTGCATCCCATTCGTCCAGTCACCCTTTAGTACCAGCCCTCACTGGACTCCAAGGCCCCCTGGTGCCTGCCCCTCACAGCCCTCAGGAGACCCCCCTGCATCAGTCTGGTTGCTCTGAGGTCCAAAGAGTAGCCCCTGCCCCCCTGTTCACACCACACCCCAGAGCGTGGCATAGGCCTCAGCATCTGCTTGCTGGCAGCCTTTCAACAGTGCTGCCGTCCCCACACCCATCCCTCCTCTGATCTCTGTTCTCTCTGGAGTCCTGGGGGCCAGCCCTGTGGGAGGAGAGTTGGGGGGCCCTGTGCCATCTGCAGCCTTGTCCACAGAGCTCCCTGCCCAGCCCAGCTGCACTGCCTCCTGGTCCTAGTCCAAAGCTGGTGTGGGTCTCAGGGCTAAGCCACAACCCTGAGGAGGCTGCACTACGTGGCACTGCTGCACTGGGCTGAGCAGTGGCTTCTTGCAGACATAGTGTGCATGGACCGCGTGGAGGACATCCTGCAGCTGGTGGCCACAGACAATCCTCCCTCCAAGGAGAACAAGTGGGTGGTCCAGAAGTACATCGAGACGCCGATGCTCATCTATGACACCAAGTTCGACATCAGGCAGTGGTTCCTGGTCACAGACTGGAACCCGCTGACAATCTGGTTCTACAAGGAGAGCTACCTGCGGTTTTCCACACAGCGCTTCTCCCTGGACAGTCTAGACAGGTAAGAAGGGGCATCAGCTCAACACCTCAGGGGGAGGGCGTGCAGTCCCACATACATGGTGGGGGGCCCGGGCTGTGCCCTCACAGTCGTCCACCACCACAGAGGCACAGAAGGGGAAACTGAGGCTTGGGAGGTTCAACGACCTCCCCAAGGTACACGCCTGACTCACTGGCCTTCAGGCCAGCATTCTATGTCCTGTGGTGTTTGTATCTCCTCCAGAAAATCTTAAATGGTACCATCGGCCATGTGCCTGCAGTGCCAGGGTTGTGCAAGGGGCATCTAGATCACAAGGGCAGGGAAGGTGCCATGTGCAGGTGCTGGGGCGCCGGGTGGAGGCTCAGACATCCAGGAATGGGGTGCCCAGGGTGAGTGAACCCCCACCTCCCCAGGGTCCAGAGTGGGCAGGATGGTGACAGCTTGTCTGTGATCCTCAGGAACATACCATCTACACAGAGGCAAAGAACTCTGCCAGCCTCTGACCAAGCCGAGGGCTTCCTCTGGCTGTGTTATGACCACCATGTGGTGTGCAGGGCTGGGGGACGTCTCAGCAGGGGCTTTGCAGAGTAGTCAGCCAGAATCTCAACAGAGACCTTGCAGGGTTAACTCTGCCCCCAGGCTAGGGACTGTGGCCACACCTGGAGTCACACCTGGCAGGTCACAGCTGGAGTCATCTGGGCCGACCTGGCCTCCCTAAGCCAGGAGTGGTGTGTCTGGCAAATCTCATACCCTCTCTGAGCCCTGTGTCTCTGTCTGGGACCATAACACTCATCCTGGGCTGACGGGAGATTCCCTGAAATGAACGGTATCCAACAGGTGTGGCCCTGCCTGGCACATACTGACAAAAATTAAAGAAAATAGTTAACTGTTAGCAGTGTAGGTCCGTGACCCGGTGCCACTGGTTTTCATTTTCAAAACTCTCTTCTGTTTGCCCATATCCTTTTTCTTTTCATCTACTTTTTCATGGAAGTGTAACTTAGACATGGCCATGGGGGCAGGTCTTACCCCCGGGACAAGACGGGAAATCCCCATTCCGACACACCTGCCCAACATGCCCACAGCTCCAATGAAAATGCCCTTAACCATATGCACAGCATTTTATAATCTCCTAAAAGATGTTTGTTTTGAATCCTGTGCAGAACAAGGCAAGAGTATAAATAAATAGAGATGTTTAGTTAGGTGGATCTTTCTTACCTCATCTCACCTGATCAGCTCCTCAAGTGCCAGCATCCCTATTCCCATATGCATATGGGGAAACTGAGGCTTGAGAAGATTGTTACTTGCCAGCAGCCCCTAGTTGATGGCCCTGGGCTGGTGGGCTTCTGCTCTGCCCCCTGGGTTCAGGCCATCGTGTCCCTAGGCTGGACCAAGGGCTGTCCCAAGGCTGCTTCCTGGTGGGGGAACTGGCAGAGCCCTGCCCTACCCCAGCCTGGGCCCCTCCTGCAGCCGCCCTGTGTGTGCCCTGCAGCCGAACAAACCACGTCTCCTTGCAGCGCCATCCACCTGTGCAACAACTCCATCCAGAAGCACTTCAAGACTGACAAGGAGCGCAGCCCGCTGCTGCCGGGCCACAACATGTGGACGAGCTCCAGGTTCCAGGAGTACCTGCAGAAGAGGGGCCACAGGGCCCTGTGGGGTAATGTCATCTACCCATCCATGAAGAGGGCCATCACCCATACCATGAAGGTGGCCCAGGGCCACGTGGAGGCCCGCAAGAACAGCTTCGAACTCTATGGGGCCGACTTCATCCTCGGGAGGGACTTCAAGCCCTGGCTGATCGAGATCAACTCCAGCCCCACCATGCACCCCTCCACGCCCGTCACAGCCCAGCTCTGCGCCCAGGTGCAGGAGGACATCATCAAGGTGGTGGTGGACCGCAGGCTCAACCGCAACTGTGACGTCGGCAACTTTGAGCTGCTGTGGAGACAGGTGAGCAAGTGCCTGCCCTGCCCGGCTGCAAGTGGCCTGTCCACAGGAGGGGGCTGGTGGCCACCCTGTGCTGCAGATGCTTCTGCTTCTGGGTTACTGGGAAGGGGGGTCGAGCTGCGGGCCTCCAGCGCTGCCTGCCCCATGGAGGACACCAATCCCATTCTGAGGGCTGAGGGCTGAGCAAAACTTGGTCCTGATGGTGCTCACGCATCGAGGGCCTGGCACCTGCCCCAACTCTCCCATGGGCTCAGCCGCCTCATCTGCAGGGATCACTCCAGACTCCTGGGAGGTCTGGACCTCCCTGAAGGACGGACCCAGTGGGTGGCTGGGCCTTCATGGGTTGTGGCCAGTGAGACCCTTAGAGGCCTTGCAATGGGCCAGCAGAACTCAGGGACAGGGTGTCACAGGTCCCTGCATGGGCCAGCCCCCACTACCTGACCAGAGAAAGCCGTGTTCCCTGCAGGCTCCTGAGAGCCTGGCAGCCTCCTGGGGCTACGTCGGGCCAGGTGGGGGTCTGTCCCAGCCCAGTCCCTGGCACCCCTGACCCCCACCTTGCCCTCCCAGCCCACTGTGGAGCTGCCCCCGTTCAGCGTGTCCGACCTCTGCGTGGAAGGCGTCAGCGTCAGGAGGGCCAGGAGGCCAACGCCACCCGTGCCCGGCTCCCACCCGTCCACCTTGCTCACAGACATGTGGCCCCCAAGAGTGCCATGGCCCTCGGCCCTGCCAGCCTCTGCGTGCAGGCCCTCGCGAGCTGCGCTCCAGCCAGACCTGAAACCGGGGGCAGGGAGGGTCCTTCCCTTCACGCTGCCCGTGCCCTCGAAGACACTGGCTGGGAGGGGCTGTGGCGGCAACTGCCAGCATGCGGACGACAAGGCCCCAAAGACCAGTGTCACCAAAGCCCAGTCCACCAAACTCTTGGATGCAAACATACTGAACGTGCACCCCCTGGCACCCGTGCCCCCCAGTGTGAAGGCAGCAGAGGGCTCCCTGTCCCAGCCGCCCAGAGCCAGGGGTAAGCGAGCGGTGTCTGTGTCCTGCCCCTGGTGTGTGTTTGGGGGCTGCCTGTCCCATGCCCAGCTCTGTCAGGAGGAAGGCCTGGCTGTGTCCTCTGGGGCGAGGTACAGGGAGGGCCTTGGTGCTGGTGCTGGGGGTGTTCCCTGATGGGAGCACCTGCCTGAGCTTGGGAGTGAGGTCGGAGGCATGCTGGCACCGTCGTAATTTTTTTATCAAGTTACACAAAAAGTCCAGTTGAAGTTTTGGTTGCATTTTGGTTACGTTGAATCCATAGATCAATTTGGGGAAAATTGGCAAATTAATGAATTGATGTCCTCCTATCCGTGAACATGATATACCTCTCTATTTACTGAGATCTTAAGTTTTATAATTTTCCCTATAGAGATCTTATACATCTTTTATTAGATTTAATCTTAGTTACATGATCTTCTGATACTACTGCATGTGGTATCACCTCAGTAAATAAATTCTCTCATTGTTTCGTGCTGGTGTACAGAACGTGGCTGACATTTATGTATGATTTTTCTAAGTAGCCACATTTCTAAGCTCTCACTGTCTCTGACAATTTGTATGCATATTCTTCTGAGTTTTCTATGTAAATAATTCTGTCATATGCAAATACCTTCACGTCCTTCCATTCCAACCTTGCTGCCTCTAGTTTCTTAGTCTTACCAAACTGCACTAGCTACCTCCTATGCAATGGTAGGCTTCCTGTCTAATTCCTGATTTTAGAGGAAATGTTTTGAACATACCTCGTTTATAATACAGTGTGCTCGAAGGTCTTTATAAAGACCTGGATGTACATATGAAATAAATGTAGGTATAAATGTATAGGTACCCTAGCATGTTAAAGAAGTTTCTTTTTAATTCTTGTCATAAATGTATATTGAATTTTCTCAAAAATCTTTTTGCATCCGTGAGGTTATCATAAGCTTTTTCTCCTTTTCTCTATTAAACTGGTGAATAACTTCAATTGATTTTTTCTTTTTTTTTTTTTCATTCTAAAGCAATCTTACCTTCCAGGAATGAACCTAACCTGGTCTGATGGTGGGTTTGATATATGGCTGATTTTGGTTTATTGCGTGTAGTGCAAGTTTGTTCTCAACCACAGTTTGTTTATTCCCACTACTGTTAATAGACGTCTACATTGTTTCTAGCTCAGACTAATACAAATAGTGCTGTGTGGACGGTGGGTTTGATATATGGCTGATTTTGGTTTATTGCGTGTAGTGCAAGTTTGTTCTCAACCACAGTTTGTTTATTCCCAGTACTGTTAATAGACGTCTACATTGTTTCTAGCTCAGACTAATACAAATAGTGCTGTGTGGACATTCTGGAACTTGGTAAACATACATAGGCGTTTCTGCAGGAATGGAATTGCTACGTCATACTTTCAGCTTTGATAGACACTCCCAAGCTCCTGCCCCAAGTGGCCGTGACAGTGCACATCTCACCAGGGTGTGTGAGAGTCCTATGCCCCACATGCCGGCGAGGTATCCTCTGTCTTTTTATCTTATCCCACTAGGTAAATAGTGGATTCACACTGTGGCTTCAATTTCCATGTCCCTGACTAATGAACTTGAGCGTCTTTTCATATTTATGGTCCACTTAAGTATTCTTTTTTTTTCTTCTTTTTTTAAAAAGATGACCGGTAAGTGACTTGGTGTCGCCAGCACCGCGCTCTCCCAAGTGAGCTGCGGGCTGGCCCCACTTAGGTATCCTTCCGTGAAGTGCTGTTGGCCTGTCCTTACTGACCTGTAGGCGTCCTTTACATCATATGGACTGGAGTCCTTCAGTGAGTGTATGTGTGGAAAACATCTCCCATTCTATGATTTGCCTCCTGCTTTCTTCACAGGTTTTGATGCACAGAAATGATTGACTTCAATATGTTCCATGATTAGCTTTTCTTTTATGATTAGCACTTTTTGTTTTCTGTTTGAGAAATCTTTTCTTCTTTTTTTAAAAAGATGACCGGTAAGTGACTTGGTGTCGCCAGCACCGCGCTCTCCCAAGTGAGCCGCGGGCTGGCCCCACTTAGGTATCCTTCCGTGAAGTGCTGTTGGCCTGTCCTTACTGACCTGCAGGCGTCCTTTACATCATATGGACTGGAGTCCTTCGGTGAGTGTATGTGTGGAAAACATCTCCCATTCTATGATTTGCCTCCTGCTTTCTTCACAGGTTTTGATGCACAGAAATGATTGACTTCAATATGTTCCATGATTAGCTTTTCTTTTATGATTAGCACTTTTTGTTTTCTGTTTGAGAAATCTTTGACTACCCCAAAGTCAAAAATATAGTCATTTCCGTTTTCTTCTCAAAGCTGTATGGCTTTGCCCGTCACGTTTAGGTCTGTGTCCCGGCAGGAATTGTTTTAGTGTGTGGTGTGATGTGGGAGCGGAGCTTCATTCTTTTTCCGTGTGGACACTGAGCTGGTGGGGCGTGGGATGTTGAACGCACTGCTCTCCTGCTCTGCTGTGCCTTTGTCACCGAACAGGTGACAGTGTATGTGGTTCTCTTCCTGGGCTCCACTCTGCTCCAACTGTCTATTGGTCTACCTGTGTCTATTAGTCAGGTTTCCGCAGCAACAATGCTGCGTGACGAAGACTCCCCCTCGCCAGCTTCAATGGCTTACAACCATAAGCACGTCTCTCGTAGGTGCTCTGCTCAGCTGTGGCTCTGCTGGGGTCTGCTGGGGGCACTGAGGCTGGGCTCAGCCCTGTTCCAGGTGTCTCCACCTTCTGGGACCAGTGGCTCCCCAGGGCATCTCCTCCATGTGGCAGAAGGCAGAAGCGTGAGGGACAAGCCAAACCAGGCAGGCCCATGAAGGCGTCCGCTCTCATCACGGCGGCACAGCCTCCAGTGGCCACACTCAAGTCACGGGCGAGGAAGGACGCTCCACAGAAGGGGGAGGAGGAGAGGCGTGGGTATTCACTCACCTTCTGCAAATAAACTGTACCTGCCGCCCCCACTCCTGATGTCTCCAAGTCACGGTGCCTGCTCCAAACCCAGGATCGCGTGAATCTGCACCAGCTCTGGATCCGCATCACTCCTGTCCGGACAACTGTGAGACAAAAGGCAAGTTTTCCAGGCTCGGCTTTGGTTTTCCATCCTTCCAGCCTATCACATGACTCCAAGCAGCGGGACGAGGCCAACCACACCCTCCAGGGTCCTGGGCTTGGTGGCTGTGAGCCCTGGGGGACCGCGGTCTTCTTTCTGACAGGTTGTAGTCTATGGTGAATGCTACTCATGAGGACCCACACAACTGGACTCAGACTTACCTCTGATCTTTGATGCCATTGCCCATGCGGGGGCAATAGACTGCCACAAAGCAGCCCCACTGCAGTGGGGAGATGTCCACTCGCCCCATGTAGAAACACAGTTCGGGTGTGTCATTACACGGGCTTTGGTGAAGCCACACGAACAGGCCACTCAATGGCCGTGTGTGTTTTCACACACGTGTGTACAACCACCGCTTGTTTCTCCAGGCTGGTGCTGGATCTGCAGGACAGAGCCCTCACTGTCCCCTCCCGCACCTCCAGGGCTCTGAGGATTCCCTCCCTTCACAGCCACAAAACCAGCTTCCCCTTCTCCTCAGTCACCCTCTATTCGCATCCAGAACTTTCATGGGGGGGATCAGGTGGGAGATGGACAAGCGCCACTGGACATGGACCCATCTTCATGCTCAGGGACCATGTCAATCGGATAAGAGAACGCCCGTGGCCGAGCTGGCATTAAGTTTGAATCCAGAGGCTGGGCTGCTGCTACTGGGGGACAGGGGTGGGGGCACCAGCCGGCGGTCCTGGGGCTGCTGTCAGGGTGAGGACAGAAGCTCTGTTGCCCAGGACAGTTGGTGAAATGTTCAAGATGCGGAATCCCAAATGTTCAAGATGCACTTTTATCACCCTGCTGCTTTCATCCAGTCACCTGCCGGGGGGCAGCCAAGAGAAGACTCTGAGAAGACGCCACACCTACCTGGAGGAGGTGGGAGAGGCAGGGCTGACTGGCCAGGATGCCGTCCCTGTGGTGGATGGTGCCAGGTGCCTGCAGGACGTCAGTGAGCGCCATGACTGTTGGCTGTCGCAGGGTGGCCTACGTGACAAAGCCTGCCATGCAGACTGGGTTGGCGGTCAGTGGATTTCCGCCCATGGGCTGCTTTTATGTGGTCTACGAACGAAGTGGCTTGCATATTTTTAAAGGGTTGTAAAAAAAAACAACAGAAAATATGTGACAGACCGTATATGACAGATCCATATGGGACAGATCCATATGTGACAGACTGTCTGTGGCCACAAAGACAAAGTGCCTACACCCAGCCTAACAGAGGACGTGTCCCCATCCCTCTGTGTGTGGTCTGCAGAGCTGACGCAGCTCAGGTCAGTTCTGGGGTCGCATGGTGTGGCTGGAATCAGCCGACTGGCTGAAGCTGCACCTCCATGGCCAGGTGTCTTCACAGCCTGAAAGAGTGTCCACAGCGATGAAGCTGCAGATGACCTGGGAGGTGTCTGGCTCCGATGGCCAGGCTGCCAGGGGCAGGCAGGGCAACACTCAGTACCACGGCCCCTTTCACTGCAAGGCAGGTAGCCACTTCTGGCAGGTCTCCATCCGGCACACTGTGGCGGCTTCTGCCTCTTAAACAGAGTCCTTCACCACATGCCCAGTCCATGCTGGGTCAGTTGCCATGTCTGGTGCGATGCTAGTCCAGGTGGCCCTGGGCGGGGCAGGCCTTATGGGCATCTGGGTCCAGTTGGTTTCAGCAGAGGACGGACCTCAGGCGAGCGTCCACCAGCATGGTCCAGCTGTCCAGTCAGCAGCCACAGTCACAGCCCTTAGGGGGTGACTTAATCTGCCAGTCTGTCATCTCCCAAGTGGCAGCCCAGACAGCTGGGCTGTTGGCAACTGCCCAAGGGTCAGTAAAATGTAGCAAGGATGGTGATGGGGAGGCTTGGCCAGAGCTACCAGGACCACCCCAGCACCTGGGTAGAGCCAGCTTCAGTGTCCAGATTCACACAGCAGGCCCTGAGGCTGTGACAGCACAGTGACATTGTCGGACCCAGCTGAACCAGCCTGTCCCTGAGCCAGGCCAAGCCGGGGCTGGCACACAGTGGGGCAGTTTTCCACAAAGGGCTCGTGGTCAGCGTTCCATGCCAGTGGATGAACAAGGCCTGCTGCGCCTCCCCTCCAGCGAGTCATCGCGCCCCAGCTGAGCCCCCGCAGTGGCCTCAGGCCCAGGGAAAACAAAACCCCCTGCTATAGCAAGAGTTCAGATGGGGGTGATCTGGCGCCTCTAACACGGAGTGTGCTTGTGGCTGTGCCAGCAGGTGGTGCCTGGGGAGGTGTGGCTTCATTGGCAGCAGCGGGCAGCCTGCAGCGCCACCTGAGAACGGCCAGGCCAGGGTGCTCAGGGCCTGGCATCCAGCTCACCTGGAAAAACAGCTGCGCACCTGGGAGTGCACGAGACACCCAGGAGCACTGTCTCCAGCACACGTTATCTGCATGGTCACACCACACCACACACTACACACCACACACACCACACACGCTACACCATACATGCACACACACTACACCACACACCACACATGCACACGACACACCACACATGCACACGACACACCACACACTACACACCACACATGCACACACAACACACACACCACACACTACACATGCACACACACTACACCACACACCACACATACACACACCACACATGCACACACACCACACACACCACACACCACACATGCACACACCACACACACCACACATGCACACACACCACACACTACACACCACACATGCACACACACCACACACACCACACACCACACATGCACACACCACACACACCACACATGCACACACACCACACACTACACACCACACATGCACACACACCACACACACCACACATGCAAACTACACACCACACACTACACACCACACACCACACATGCACACGACACACCACACACTACACACCACACATGCACACACAACACACACAACACACACCACACATGCACACACACTACACCACACACCACACATACACACAACACACAACACACATGCACACACCACACACACCACACATGCAAACTACACACCACACACTACACACCACACATGCACACACACCACACACACCACACACCACACATGCACACACACCACACACACCACACACCACACATGCAAACTACACACCACACACTACACACCACACACCACACATGCACACACCACACGCACCACACATGCACACACACCACACACAACACACAAGCAAACTACACACCACACATTACACACCACACACCACACATGCACACACACCACACACACCACACCACACATGTACACACCACACACACCACACATGCCCACACACTACACCACACACCACACATGCACACACACTACACCACACACCACACATGCACACACACCACACACCACACACCACACATGCACATGACACACCACACACACCACACCACACACTACACACCACACACACCACACACGCTACACCACACATGCACACACACCACACACACCACACACCACACATGCCCACACACTACACCACACACCACACATACACACACCACACATGCAAACTACACACCACACACCACACATGCCCACACACTACACCACACACCACACATACACACACCACACATGCAAACTACACACCACACACCACACACCGCACACCACACATGCACACACACCACACACACCACACACCACACATGCACACACCACACCACACGTGCACACACCACACACACCACACACCACACATGCACACACCACACCACACGTGCACACACCACACACACCACACACCACACCACACGTGCACACACCACACACACCACACATGCCCACACACTACACCACACACCACACATGCACACACACCACACACCACACATGCACATGACACACCACACATGCACATGACACACCACACACACCACACCACACACGCACACACACCACACACCACACCACACACACACACCGTCCGGCAGTGGAACAGGGACAGTGGAGGTGCAGTAAACACTCATTAGACAGTGAACGGCGGGGCTGGCAGCAGGTGCTGGTCCACAGCAATCTGGGCAAACACCGTCCTGCCTTCCCCAGGGGCAGGGACCGAGCCCTGACCACGCTGCAGTCCTGG